TGCATACAAGCACGTGGGGGCCATACAAACTACTGAGTACCATTTTGAGTTGCTGCAATAAAATTTCAGCAAAATGAACTAGCCTGCTGCATAATTTTTTCACTTAAATTTTCTGGGTATCTTCGAATTCAGTCCTCTGTAGGTTGATAATTTTCATTTACATCAAACGATGGGCAATCCTTAGGTTCCTAACACATTACCCAATCCATATCAGTGTAGATATCCAGCATGATATTTTTCCATATTCAGATCTGATGTGCTTTCAAAGTGCTCCTTTAATTTTTTTGAGCAGTATATATATATATATATATATATATATATACTGTGACATGGGGGATGTTTAGCTTCATGGTAGATGCGTTTTTAAGTAAGTTTACTTCAGACAGGAACTATATTTAAGGGCCTGGTAGCCCACTTTTATAAAAAGAAAAACACAAAGTCCACAACACATAAGGTTTCCCACACAGGGGCTCTTCTCCAGCAATATGTACAAATGAAAAATGCTAGCCCACCTGGTTCTTAAGCTCTTGGTCAACTTGAATCGTGGAACCTCTGCTTTTTATGCTGGTCACAAATACCATAGTTTCTCTAGTGCAGAAAACTTCACTCTAATGCCCTGTAGCCACAGTTCCTCTGGCCTTGGTCTTCAGACCGTTATCTGTCTCTTGCAGACCATCATTCTCTGGCTGGCACATGAAGCCTCTATGACTCCTGTATGAGACCTCCGGTCTCTCTTGGGTGGAGCTATGAGGTATTGCCAAAACTTCATTATAAGGCCTGGTTGCACTCTGCTGGTCCTCCACAAAATCCCGACACTGGGTTGGAGATTCCATCCTGCCCAAGACACTATGGAACCTCCAAACTACAGTGCCCCATTTAGGAACACCAAATCCTGGAGAAAGCTGCAAAAGCAGTTTTCTCTATTCAGAACAAATGCCCCTTAGTCCTGCACTCAGCAAAGGTGCAAACTCTGTGTCCTTTTGCTGACCAATTCCACAATGACAGAACCTTGTACTGTCACAACATTATGTATATATATATATATATATATATATATATATATATATATATATATATAGTTCATCTCTGCTTTAAACTGAATTGGTTGTTTTACAAAGTGATGGTTTATAGTCACATAAAAAAATAATCTTAGGCATGGCTATGTTATACATAGTTACATTGGTTCAGTTTGGATTTACTATACCTGGCCAATGCCCCTGGAAGCTGGAAGACACTGCTACTCCAGTAATAACCACTTGCTTCTTGGTCCCTTGCTGAGTGCCTGGCCTGTTGTATTCTGGACACAGAAGTTTGGATACTCAGAGTGGTCACCATTCAGAGAAAGAGGTGGAGATGCATCTGGGTAGGATGCATAACAAAATGTACCCCTACACTGCAATTCAAAAAAACACAGGTAGAGTTTGCTAATGTAGATGTAAACATAACAACTAAAATCTCATAAAAGTATTAACATAATTATAATATAATTGCAAAAAGGCCATTAGGATGTAAAAAGCCTTCCCCCCTCCTCCAACCTCAAATTCCCTATATAGCAGTGTTCTACCTAAAGGAACATTCAGTAAGGGTTTTACATCTATTTTAAGAGACCATTGCTTATAAGCCCTATACTAATGTGCCCTTATGCACTTTATCAGCATCACTGCTTTACCTATCATAGCTAAGTACATTGTCAATATGGCTTCTGGAAACCCATTACGTTATAGTGAGGGGACTTGCTTATCCATATGTTTCGGAATACACACAGAGACAGTAGTATTCACATTTCTTTCAGTATTTCTTGTCCTACAACAGGAACAAAATGAGACTTGACATAAAACTAAATAACCCCTTGCAGCATGGTTCCGCAACATAACTGTTACACCATACCATAACATCAACAGCTTCTTAACCATTGATATTTTCTATTCTGCCAGGGATAAACAGACAGGTTTCCCTTGCTACGAATATAAATGTGAAACAAAGACTTCCCTCAAAGCAACCTTTTAGAGATTTAAAGATTGAGCAGATGATTCTAAGCAGTTAAATGTACAGTGAGGTTTGATTTTCCCATTGTTATCATGCCTGTAGTCTCTTTATTCAAAGAGATCTTGCTTTCTCACGCCCCGAAAACAAAACCTATATCACCCAATTTCTGACTTTTCTTTAACTTAGCAAATGATTAGGGTAGAAAAAAAATTAGCTACCCATCAATACTGTATATCCCAAAGCCAGGTGTCCTAGAAAATGCTTAGAAAAGACAGTAGTTTCACCAGTTCATTTTTTTCCTTCTTGCACATCCATTTCTCCTTTGTGCACATCCACTTCAAGCCAGTAAAACCTATTAAAGGTGTGGGCTACTAGTGGAGGCTTTCTCTAGGGATGTCTACACCTCTATATGAAAATCAGGTGTATCCTATAATTGTTTTATGTACCTCTAAAGTATAACTAAAGTTATTTTTTTTGGTCTGGATAGAGTGAAGGTGGAATTAGAGCACCTGTCAGGTTTGTGTTGCTGTCTGTGTCCCCATTGGGGAGAGTCACCCACTCTATTTTTCCTGTTTACCATTATCAATGAAAATAAAATTCTCAAACTTTGGGTTATCCCCTAGAACAGTAAGCGATAGGAAATCTTCTAATGGGAACACTCGATCTGGTGACCCCTGGTAACAACCGAATATTCCCTAACTTTGAAGGGATTTTTGTCCACTCTTTGTTGTGGTCATTAAACAAGAAGTGAATGGAAATTTCTCTAGAGATTAGTGAATCGAACTTGGTGAAGTGGAATTCGTTTTGAATATTAGAAAAAATTCGCGGCCGAATCCGAAAATTAGCAGACTTCGGATGCGCGAATCGAAATTTTTTTCAAAAATGGCGGCGACATGTGTGGCGACGGAGCGGGGATCTCTGGGAAGCAGCGCAGGACAAGGCGCGCTGACCCATAATGCATTCATTCATGACATGTGATCGCATTAGCCCCATCAGCAGCCAGCCAGCCAGCACTGTGTAATGGTGGAGCTATAAATTTGCGGCCATCTATACAATTCTCTCCATTTGCCTCCGGTCATTCAAGTCAGAGACAGACCTCTCTGTATTAGGGACAGAGTTAGGGCCACAGATACTTTGAGACTTAAGGGACACAGAATCGTTACTTAGGGACACAGAATTGTTACTCAGGGGACACAGAACTGTTACTCCCAGGGACACAGAACTGTTACTCAGGGACAGACACAGAATTGTTACTGAGGGGACACAGAATTGTTACTGAGGGACACAGAATTGATCTCAGGGACACAGAACTGTTACTCAGGACACAGAACTGTTACTCAGGGACACAGAACTGTTTAATATCAGGGACACAGAAGATTTGTTACTCAGGGACAGACACAGAATTTGTTTACTGAATGGACACAGAATTGTTACTGAGGGACACAGAATTGGTTACTCAGGGACACCAGACACAGAATTGTATACTGAGGGACACAGAATTGTTACTGAGGGACACAGAATTGTTACTCAGGGACACAGAACTGTTACTCAGGGGACACAGAACTGTTACTGAGGGACACAGAACTGTTACTGAGGGACAGACACAGAATTGTTACTGAGGGACACAGAATTGTTACTCAGGGACACAGAACTGTTACTCAGGGACACAGAATTGTTACTCAGGGACAGACACAGAATTGTTACTGAGGGACACAGAATTGTTACTCAGGGACACAGACACAGAATTGTTACTGAGGGACACAGAATTGTTACTGAGGGACACAGAATTGTTACTCAGGGACACAGAATTGTTACTCAGGGACACAGAAACTGTTACTCAGGGACACAGAATTGTTACTCCAGGGACACAGAACTGTTACTCAGGGACACAGAATTGTTACTCAGGGACAGACACAGAATTGTTATTGAAGGACACAGAATTGTTACTGAGGGACACAGAATTGTTCACTGAGGGACACAGAATATGTTACTCAGGGACACAGAATTGTTACTGAGGGACACAGAATTGTTACTCAGGGGACAGACACAGAATTGTTACTGAGGGACACAGAAATTGTTCTACATCAGTTACTGAGGGACACAGAATTGTTACTCAGGGACAGACACAGAATTGTTACTGAGGGACACAGAATTGTTACTGAGGGACACAGAATTGTTACTCAGGGACACACAGAACTGTTACTCAGGGACACAGAATTGTTACTCAGGGACACAGAACTGTTACTCAGGGACACAGAAATTGTTACTCAGGGACACAGAACTGTTACTCAGGGACAGACACAGAATTGTTACTCAGGGACACAGAACTGTTACTTCAGGGACACAGAATTGTTACTCAGGACAGACACAGAATTGTTACTGAGGGACACAGAATTGTTACTGAGGGACACAGAACTGTTACTCAGGACACAGAATCGTTACTCAGGGACACAGAATCGTTACTCTTACTGGACACAGAATCGTTAATTAAAGAGTATGTCAGACAACACGCAGAGGAAGTGTCAGAGAGGCCATGTTTTAGGTGACAGTGAGCAGACGTGGCAGCAGAGGAAGGGGTCGAGGCAGCACTAGTCCGCAGCCAGAGGCCAGTGCTCCCGGTGTCATCCAGCGGTCGTGTCTCCACCGACAACCCTGCCGTCATCGAATTGGTTGGCTCGGTCGTCTTCAAATCTCTTCCCAGGTCACCTCTGACACCTACTAGCCAACGGTCCGGTGGGTACTCAGACACAAAACCGTTAGTTGGCATGGCCCGGGAGCAAGCCCACTGAAATCACGTGTCCTCTACCTGCCCCTGTCCTTTGGTGTTCCCTCACCAAGTAAGCGAAGTATCGCATGCTGTGGGCTCAGCCCCACTGTACAGTGAGGAAGAGCTAACAGAGGGCGGTCAGGAACGGGGGGAGACATTCCGCCTCTTCAGCAGCCAGGCGAAGAAGTACTTGCGAGGAGAGTGGCTCTCGGTAGCCGGTCTAGAGACAGGTCTGTCTCCTGACCCACACGCAGCCGAGGGGGCTAGTAGTGAGGCGGAGACCCCTAATTGATGATGATGAGGCTGATCGCACTTGGCAGCCTCGTCGTCATCAGGCTATTGCTTCCGCATCATCAGGAGAAGAGGGTGGCAGCTTGGCAGGGAGCAAAAACAGTCGGTGGGTTGCCCAGGAGGCAGCAGGGTCGCAGCAGTGTCAGTGGAGGCAAACGCCCACGGAGTAGAGCACCAGCTCCACTGCAGCTCTACCACCACGGCCAGTAGTGGTGCCGGTGTGCATGGAGGAAGTAGCAGTCAGCCAGTGAGGAGTAGCGGGGGCAAAGTTTCCTACTCGGCGGTGTGGCAATTTTTCGTCAAGCCGCCCGAGGAAGTAAACGTAGCCGTATGTTAACTATGTGGCCAGAAAGTCAAGCGTGGCCAGGGGGCCCATGTCTCCATCGCCACACTCTGCCATGTGCCACTTTCAGGTCTCCTCACACTGCTGGTGGGTTCCATTTTGTCATAGGGTGCTGGCAGATTACGGGCCTCCCATTGCTGCTGCCAGGCCCGTGATCTGCCATGGGCCCCCTGTACCGCCTCCTCATGCTGCTGCCAGGCCCATAATCTGTCATGGGTCCCTGTACCAGTACCGCCTCATCTCATGCTGCTGCCAGTCCAGAGTGTGTCATGGGTCCCTGTACGGCCTCCCATTGCTGCTGTCTCCATCGCCACACTCTGCCATGTGCCACTTTCAGGTCTCCTCACATTGCTGTGTGTGTTCCATTTTGTCATAGGGTGCTGGCAGATTACGGGCCTCCCATTGCTGCTGCCAGACCCGTAATCTGTCATGGGCCCCTGTACCCCTGCCTCCTGTCATGCTGCTGCCAGGTCCAGAGTCTCTCATGGGTCCCTGTACGGCCTCCCCATTGCTGCTGTCTCCATCGACACACTCTGCCATGTGCCACTTTCAGGTCTCCTTCACACTGCTGGTGTGTTTCCATTTTGTCATAGGGTGCTGGCAGATTATGGGCCTCCCATTGATGCTGCCAGGCCCGTAATCTGCCATGGGCCCCTGTACCGCCTCCTCATGCTGCTTGCCAGGTCCAGAGTGTCTCATGGGTCCCTGTACGGCCTCCCATTGCTGCTGTCTCCATCGCCACACTCTACCATGTGCCACTTTCAGGTCTCCTCACACTGCTGGTGGGTTCCATTTTGTCATAGGGTGCTAGCAGATTATGGGCCTCCCATTGATGCTGCCAGGCCCGTAATCTGCCATGGGCCCCTGTACCGCCTCCTCATGCTGCTGCCAGGTCCAGAGTGTCTCATGGGTCCCTGTACGGCCTCCCATTGCTGCTGTCTCCTTCGCCACACTCTGCCATTTGCCACTTTCAGGTCTCCTCACACTGCTGGTGGGTTCCATTTTTGTCATAGGGTGCTGGCAGATTACGGGCCTCCCATTGCTGCTGCCAGGCCCGTAATCTGCCATGGGCCCCCGTACCGCCTCCCTCATGCTGCTGCCAGGTCCAAGTGTCTCATGGGTCCCTGTACGGCCTCCCATTGCCTGCTGCTGCTGATCTCCATCGCCACACTCTGCCATTTGCCACTTTCAGGTCTCCTCACACTGCTGGTGGGTTCCATTTTGTCATAGGGTGCTGGCAGATTATGGGCCTCCCATTGCTGCTGCCAGGCCCGTAATCTGCCATGGGCCCCTATACCGCCTCCTCATGCTGCTGCCAGGTCCAGAGTGTGTCATGGTCCCCCTGTACGGCCTCCCATTGCTGCTGTCTCCATCGCCACACTCTGCCATGTGCCACTTTCAGGTCTCCTCACACTGCTGGTGGGTTCCATTTTGTCATAGGGTTTGCTGGCAGATTACGGGCCTCCCCATTGCTGCTGCCAGGCCCGTAATCTGCCATGGGCCCCCGTACCCGACTCCTCATGCTGCTGCCAGGCCCGTAATTTGTCATGGTCCCCTGTACCGCCTCCTCATGCTGCTGCCAGGTCCAGAGTGTGTCATGGGTCCCTGTACGGCCTCCCATTGCTGCTGTCCTCCATCGCACACTCTGCCATGTGCCACTTTCAGGTCTCCTCACACTGCTGGTGGGTTCATTTTGTCATAGGGTGCTGTATGGCCTCCCATTGCTGCTGCCTCCACCGCCACACTGTGGCTCCACACTCTGGTTTTGGCCCCGTGACTGCCCAAATGAGTGAAGTGTGCGGTGATTCTAAGATCGACGGGGCACTCATCTGCATGTCATACTGACTGACAGTATTATTTCTCTTCCCCAGCAGAACTCCAAGGGCATTTAAATTAAAGGTACAGTGTTCTGCACTAATATAAAGGCTCTCTGAAGCCTCAGAAACACCCTTTTTTAAAGTTAAAATTCGCAGCGAATATATTCGCCTCGAATCAAATTTATTCCTCGAATTCGCCGAATCAGCCGAATCGAATTTTTGAATACTTTCGCTCATCTCTAGAAATTTCCCCTCAAGTGGTAAAAAAAAAATCTTGACCAGAGTTATAATACTCCCTTACTCTATTCAAAACGGAGAGAAAAACATTTTGCTTTTAATTCTATTACTTAAGTAAAACTAAAGGAGAGGGATTAGAACATGTATCAGGTTTCTACTGAACTCTGGTTCCCCACTGGGGAGAGTCTCTTTCTCTGTCCTGTTTTTCAATTATTCTTCCAGTTGGGACACTCTAGTTTCTAGTGCCCCTGGTGATAACAAGGGATTTCCTCACTTTCAAATAAAGTTTCTTCTCATCTTCATCTCACTTACCTCAGGACAGGAATAAAGAGATAATCTTCCAGTTGGGACAAACACGCTTCATCTCACCCTGATGCAATGCAATGGGACACAAATGACAAAAAAGAAACTGAAAGGGATTATGACCCTTACTTTATTCTACTGCATAATAAACAATTGAGAACTGTCCATGACACTTTTTTATTTGCACTAACCATACACAATTTTGAGGACAAGCTTTCGGGGAGTGTCCCCTTCTTCAGGTCCAAACAGTACTGAACACAAAGGTTTTAGCAGAATGTTAGAAGAGATGTAGGAGGATGGGAAAAAAAAAAGAACAGAGATAAGACACAGCAAAAGCAAAGTCTGGGGGGGGGGGGAGACAACACTCACAGGAGGTCATGCTTGAGGTGATAGTCATAAAACTGTTGGATAATGATTGAGGAATCCCATGTCCAAATTCAGGCCATTATCTCTTGTGTCAAATAGAATTATCATTCTTAGATTCAAAAGCTTTTCTTTCCTGAATGGATTTGAAATTTCCTTTAAGAACTAAAATATTGAGGTTTCCCAAAGTGTGGTCTGGTTGTGTGAAATGGTGAGTCCCACAGTGTGTGCAAAAGTCATCTTCTTTATGTTCCTTGATGGTATGTCTGTGCAAATTCATCCTTGTTGGCAACTTCTGTCCTGTTTCGCCAGCATAAGATCCTTTGCTACATTTTCTGCACTGGATGAGGTACACAACATTACTAAAGAGGTGCAGCTGTATGATCCGGAGATATTGAAGATCCCTTTTGAGTTTTCTGACACTTTTTGATGGATTGATTTGGTTGCACAGTTTGCAGAGTTTTTTATTGCAGGGTTTGCTTCCATTATTTTGTGACATCATAATCAGAAGGAAGTCTCCTACTGATTAGTTTATTTCTGAGGTTGGGGGGTTGTCTGAAAGCCAGTATTGGTGGGTTGCTGGAATATTTCTTTCAGAGTTCCATCCTCTGTTATGATGGGTTGTAAATCTTTGATTATTTTTCTTATTCCTTCTAGTGCTGGGTTGTATGTGATTACTAGAGGTACACGGTTGTTTGTTTTTTTTTTCCTTGTACTGAAGTAGATTTTCTCTCCAGGTCCTCAAGGCTGTGTTTTATGCTGTTGTTGATAGTTTTGTCCTTTTAACCTTTCTTATGGAAGGAGTCTGCTAGTGTCCCAAGCTGTGTATCTCTATCTCTTGGGTCAGAACATATTCGGTGGTATAAACTGTGCAAACCAAATCAATCCATCAAAAAGTGTCAGACACTCAAAAGGGATCTTCAATATCTCTGGATCATACAGCTGCACCTCTAGTAATGTTGTGTACCTTATCCAATGCAGAAAATGTAGCAAAGGATCGTATGTTGGAGAAACAGGACAGAAGTTGCAAACAAGGATGAATTTGCACAGACATACCATCAAGGAACATAACGAAGATGACTTTTGCACACCTGTGGAACACCATTTTCGCACAACCAGACCACACTTTGGGAGACCTCAATATTTTAGTTCTTAAAGGAAATTTCAAATCCATTCAGGAAAGAAAAACTTTTGAACTAAGAATGATAATTCTATTTCACACAAGAGATAACGGCCTGAATTTGGACATGGGATTCCTCAATCATTATCCAACATCTTAGACTTTGCTTTTGCTGTGTCTTATCTCTGTTCTCTTTATTTTTTTTTCCCATCCCCTACATCTCTTCTAACATTCTGCTAAACTTTTGTGTTCAGTACTGTTTGGACCTGAAGAAGGGGACACTCCCCGAAAGCTTGTCCTCAAAATTGTATGTTAGTGCAAATAAAAAAAGTATCAGTGCTCAATTATTTCTGTCACAAATGCACTAATACGGCTACAATCACCTCACCCCATAAGAAAAAAAGGTTTGACTTTAGTTCTAATTAAATATGCTGTATATTGCAGATTTGTCTAATCTGCAGAGACTCCTACAGTTCATACATCCCAGCTGTCTTGATTTTAGCAGACTGGACATGGAAGTATTTTGGCCAATTAATATAAAATGAATTGAGGTTAGCCACTTTGTTACAGCATCTTTGGATAAGTGCTTCTTCGGTACAATTAGTTTTTATACCACATGGAGTAAATGTAGGATTCTAATTCTATTCCAGCTTAAATTCTAAAACTAAAAAGTCCCTAAATCTAATTCCTACTGAGTGTATGTGTGTGTGTGATACAATAACAACAATGACAGTTATGTGAGACATACTGTATTGGAATAACTATAGTTAAAC